TGTTTACTATTTTACATTACACCATTACTGTAAATGCCATATGGCGACTTTCCAGCTTTAGTAGATTAGGAGGACCTTAGTTGCCCTCTCCGTGAAATATTTCAGTCACGAACTGGCACGTGAGTAGAGACACACGTTACGTTAACTTGTTGCATACGAATCGTCGTAAGTTCAATGTCATAATTATAAAAGAGCAATATGAGATTTCTGTTTACCTTTTCTATGACTTACTGGAACAAAACAAATATCTATAGACGTATTATTGAATCATAAGGTCTACAAAATATACCAATATTTCATTTCCATACATACTGATACAAATTATTTGATACAATAAAATAGTCTTACCTACGTTGTGGTATTGGAGTTAGTTTTCTGATGTCAGTTGTTTTCTCGTTTAGGGCACAGACGTTATTTAAACGTAATTTTTGCTTGTAATTGTTATGTTTATATTTATTATAATGACTCGCCATACATATATTTATGTGATTATGTTATATATATTATTCAATACATGTTAACAAGACGATGTACTTTGTATAAGTCTAGACAATAAAATTTCTGTTCTGTTCTATTCTGTTTTATTTGGTGACCATACGCCGATTTTCATGGAATTGCAATGACGTGTCACACTGAAGGTTTCATGAAAACTACTGGATGAAAATGTCTGCGGAGGTTTCTTTTATCATCATCATCATCATCATCGTCGTCGTCGTCGTCGTCGTCGTCGTTGTTGTTGTTGTTGTTCTTATTATATGTCACCATTTTCGTGTTTAAATATTGAATTCTGTTTGATCCGGTTTTGGGGGCAAACAGGCTCAAACAAACCTAGCCTGCAACATTTTCATATTTTTGCCGTTTTTGTCGTTATTTAAAGATTTTATTTTGGGGCCTAAACTACATATAATCATGAGTAGATATATGATTGAACTAACAAGCATTGAGTGCAAACAAAGAACAATATGCATAAACATATACACACAGCAAACAACACAAACATTTTATCCTTAACCAAATCACTTATCAACATCTATAAATGTATAATTAGATGATTTTGCTAATTTTAAATAAAGATTGACAATACAGTTTTTGAAAACTAGAGTGTCCATAATAAAGCACATATGCTAAATATAATTCATTATGATTTTCCATTTTTTCCTAAGGCTTTTAAAACAAGTGAATAAAATGAAAATGACAACTTCAATATTTTCTTTTAAAGAGAAGATATAAATAAAAATATAATACCATAAATAATATAAAAAATAAATAGCATTTTATAATTAATATTAATAAGATAGGAATCATATTCGTACTCGTATTTCTTGATAAAAAATATTTTCTATAGATGAAGATATATTCTTGTAATACGAGGGATGCCCGGAAAGTTCATTTACTTCTTCATTTTTTATTTTATAACAATACATGCGCTGTACAAATTTTGTCAGCTTTAATATACAAATCTAGCGAACACATAATTATTCAAAAATTACTGAACTGTGACTTACGCTTGTATTTTAACAGTATTTACATACAACATATATACATGAGCACTTTGACAACGTCAACGGCGTCAAATTAACTTCATGTTTACCCGCTTTTCAATTTCTTCCGATTCAACAGCCATGGTACCTGTCTGACGTATACTTAATACATGTTATGTTCCTTTGCTATTACTTCATGCATTTCATATTTGAAATTATTATTTAAAATCAAAGATGTCACTGGTTCCCATACAGTGTGCGAGATGTTTGCCTTTATCAAAGATTGTTGTAATGAAATCTACGATATTTCAGCCATGCTACTTTTGGTCATCTGGAGCGTTTCTTATACAATATCCTGTCATCACCGCTCCTTTATCTTGTTTGACATTTAAACACAAGTTGTCTTTAACATTTTATGGTTGATTTTGTTTTTAAAGTAAAGACAAAAATCTCAGTTGGTGCCATATTTATGTTGCTATGAAGTTAAATATCATTATGTTGCTCCGTCCATGAATTTCACGTCATTTTTGCAACACAAAATTTACGCTCCTTCATTGCCTAAAATCGTCTTTAGCAAGCTGTTTATTTGCGTATGACATCATAATTTACACCGAATATCATAATAGTATCCTATGATGTCACAAAATTAAAACGAGAGTTTGCGTTAAAATTACACTTTTTAGCAACTTAATTATTATTCGAGTAGCTATCGTCATGAAATCAAAGTGCTCCGTGATTCGTTGATCATGTTGCCATAGTGATCGGCGCTTTGCGAATATTTCTTTTACCATGTTTTTAATTTAGAAATATGTAGCAGATAAATATTTTAGTAAATTATTCAATTATCATATTGATATGAATGCTTATAATTGATTTATAGCCTTGTCTACGAACTTTACGGACAGCCCTCGCACATGTATAAATCAGCAAGTTTCTATACCTGTGACATATTGTAATAGGTAAACTGTATGAAAGACAAAACGAACCCAAAAGAAGATTTTGTTTTGTTTAATAAGTGATATGTCTACCTGTAAAAGAGCAGGAAATATGAAAAATGGTCAGCCATCATTGCCAGTTTATAATGCATTTAATTTATCTCGTGCCTCTGTGTGAGCGGGTCTTGGCAGAAGCAATAACTTTACTGATATTTTTCAACAAACCAACTTTGATACGTTGATTATTAATTCGATTATTTGTGTCATATCAAACGCTGCAGAACAGAAAATGAAAAATACACATTTTCTGTTTCCTGGTTCTGCTTTACATAGTTTGATTATACCTGTATTGCTGACATAACATCGTCAACCAGCCTATGTCCCATTCTTTAATTTCCTATTGCAATTGTTTCTTTATTAGTCTTTCTCTGACGTAATTAGTTTATTTTTTATATTAAAGGGCTAATACTTTATTTTCTGGAAGGGATGCAGTGTAATGCCAAAATCTCGCGAATGTCAGTTCAATGTCCTGTTTGGCCAAAAATAGTGTACGCGTTTACCTTATAATGTTGTTTTCTTTGTTTGCTTCACCAATGGTTTTGATACACTTCAGTATTTACAAGCCCGCTCTACTGGTATTGTTCCATTACTTACATCTGAATTAGTCTTTTTATTCTTGGGGGTTTAATTATTAATTAACAAATGTCATATAAGTTGGAAGTTAACTTAACATGCCGCCGTTATTCACTGAGATCATTATACATGTACGTGAAAAATGATGCTTATCTTGTTTACTTGGTGTAAACGTTAGATGGAAATAAAATGTTTAAAAGTTTGAATAGTACATGTAATTGTGTCAAATTTTAATTAATTTAATTGTAATATAATGATAAATGATCTGAAAACAGTTTTTATAAATTAAATTTTAATTACTTTTCAATTACTTTTGTATTGCTTCTAAATATGTAAAAGAAGTTTATTTCCGAAAAGGGAGATGTTGAGAAAGGAATTAGAAAGCACTCCGTCTAAACTCTTCTAATTAGTAAATACATCTTAAAAGTCTTAATAGTATAGACATTTATATAATGCAAGCATAGCAGGGTTACCTAATGGATTTAGCTCTCATGTAATACGTTCACTCCTAAAGACACGGCTTTAATAAAATAGTTTAAGCCTTGCTCGAGGGCATTTCAAGCTTTGTATACAACAGACAATGAGGTTCAAATCTCTCTTTCAAAACTCGCTAGAAAGTATTTTAGCACACCAATAACTTCAGCTCCAGCTTATGTGACACCTTCCCGAAGTGTCCTCGTCGCGGAGAAGGCTCACAGAAAATCAAGCTATAATCGTGAATATTAACCCATTACCCGATACACACGCCTTTTAGCGCCTTTTTCATCCCCTCCCATTTTGTTGTCTTAAATGCCAGATGCGGGATGTGCCCCCTTCTGTTTTGGGGGTTTGAAGGGGGCGGTAGTCCCTCTCATCGCCAAGAAAATTTTAGACTTGTGAGAGGCTAAAAATGACCCCAGATCGATCATAAGGTAACGTGTAACCAACGGTGAAAAACATGTGACTTTATCTCAATCCGTTGAGAAGTTGCAGCACTTTGAAATCAATTTTGATGGAAAAAATCAACGCAAAATAGTGATTTTTGGCAAATTTGAGATGTCCCCTCGTTGCCATGGTAACAGGAAATTTAAGTCTGGGCATGTTGTTACAAAGGCAATGGTACAGTCAACATTTGTGCCAAGTTTGATAAATATTGAAGCAGTTTTTATAGTTTAATAGCAATTTGAACTTGTAACGAAAGACTTTTCAATGAAAAAAGGTATTTTTCACCAAATTATGCTCATGAAGTAATGGGTTAAATGGTGTGCGCAGGAAAATGCACCAGAAACCTTAATTTATTTATTTAATTATTTTTTGTTGTTTTTCTTTCTTTCTTTTTTCATGAATTTATTCATTCATTCATTCATTCATTCATCCATTCATTCATTCATTTGTTTAGGCTATAAACATTAGCATATAATGTTAGCCTACATATTGAATAAATATTTCGTATTCGTTTTTAGAAACAGGATACATTTCTTTTCAAATGTATAGAATAACTGATTAATTAATGATCTTGTGACCTGTTCAATAATAACTAACATAACTAATTAACGTTTTTGACTATATATGCGGGTAAAAGTGTGTACACATTCAAAAACGAAACGTGATTGTAGTAAGGAACAAGATCATGCAGTTTCGATATCGCACGTGGCCAATCGCACATGCACTAATTAAAAAAAATGACCTTCTCCTTTCACATAATTATGTTATTCTAACTATGCTCCTAGCAGTTTGGCTTTTGTGGATCTAATATATGGTATTTAAATTAGAACTATAATGAATGGAGAAAAAAACCAACACAACGCATCTTTTAAATAGCAAATATAGAGGCTAATGTAATATTTCTGAAATATGCGATTAGAAATTTACAATGTAATATAAATCCGTGGTGTAACTGTATGTACTCTAGCAAAACATATACACCTTTTAAATGCCACAGCAATGTAAATATTACATAACATGAAGAAATAAAAATAAAAGACAAATTAGTATAACTCCTCCGGTATGAGACGACTACCGAGTTTTATCAAATACAGTTATTAGAAGAGTAACCTCCCTTTAAGAAATATGGCAGCTAGAAATCCTGGAGTAGAATTTGGTAGGTTATTTGTATTTTATGATGGTTATTGATATTGACAGCTGCTGATGTCAATGTAATTTACAAAGAATAGCATTTCTCAATAACTTGATTTTAACCAAGTGCACTTGTTTTGATTTAATTGTTTTGGAAGTTTGCCATGTTTATCTTTTATTGGATTGTAACCTTTTTGACAGTTTGACCTAGTCCAGTATATTAGACGTTACAGGCTTGTTATAGTTTTTGTCGGTCAAGCCTGACGTCTAATAGTTATTGCTCAAAAACGCATAGCATCATAAAAAAATGAAAAATTGTCTATAATCTTGCCTTTCAAGCTTTATTCAAAAGCTTATCTTCTTTTCTTTCAATTTCATGCTCAATCACACACAAAAACTCTCAATGAATGTACTTATCAATTTAAAATATAATATAAACATCAATCTATTTTTGTCTATCAGCCATACTGGTTAAGCAAGGTGCTTTACAGATTGATTCCAAATTTTTGAACGGAAAAATATATTCGAACACACTGACGGTGCATGTGCAATTATTTCGTTAAAAAAATATTCCGTTAAATTGTTCTGACTCAGTTAAACGCTTGCATTTGAATTAGCCAATCAGATTTCGCGCACTTTACGGCCGCCATTTGTTTATCGGCTGTAAAAGAAATTTAAATACATGAGAGGATTTAATCATGATTTTTCGGATGTGACAGTTTAATTATTTTGACAAAAGGTATTTATTTTTTAGTTTTGTTCATAAATAGGTCAAAAATTATGTAAATACACGCTGTCTTCATTGTTTTTCGTTCCGCCCGATTTTCTGTCGGAACATGCTATGGGTTTTTGAGCAATTTCGATATGATGTTGCTTTGCCCAGAAGCAAAAATATCTCAAAGCGACGTCATATTTATAGGACTAAGTTTGACCTAGTTCTGTTTTTACATTTTTGCAAACAAGTACACTTACAGTAGACCTACTGAATACTCCCTTTATTATAATTGTGTACTTATTGGGGCAAAATCATGTTAATCAGTTCGACACTCAATGCTTGATGACGATCCTTTTAGTCATTATAAGCTGTAACTAGCCCAACAAATTGTGCGCTTTAGGGCTTTTTAGCTCACCTGTCACAAAGTGACAGGGTGAGCTTTTGTGATCGCTTTTCGTCCGGCGTCCGTCCGGCGTCCGTAAACTTTTGCTTTAAATGACATCTCCTCATAAACCACTGAGCCAATTTCATCCAAACTTCACAGGAATGTTCCTTTGGTGGTCACCTTTAAAAATTGTTCAAAGAATTTAATTCCATGCAGAACTCTGGTTGCCATGGCAACCGAAAGAAAAATCTTTAAATATCTTCTTTTAAACAACCCTAAGAGCTAGAGCTTAGATATTTGGCATGAAACATCTTCTAATGAGTGTCTACCAAGTTTGTTCAGATAAAAGCCCTGGGGTCAAAATTGGCCCCGCCCCAGGGGGGGTCATTGATTTTCCCTATATGCGTATAGTAAAAACTTAAAAAATCTTCTTTTAAAGAACCGTAAGAGCTAGAGCTAAGATATTTGGCATGGAACATCTTCTAGTGAGTGTCTACTTAGTTTGTTCAAATAAAAGCCCTGGGGTCAAAATTGGCCTCGCCCTAGGGGGTCATTGATTTTCCCTATATGCATATAGTAAAAACTTAAAAAATCTTCTTTTAATGAACTGTAAGAGCTAGAGCTTAGATATTTGGCATGAAACATCTTCTAGTGAATGTCTACCAAGTTTGTTCAAATAAAAGCCCAGGGGTCAAAATTGGCCCCGCCCCAGGGGGTCATTGATTTTCCCTATATGCATATAGTAAAAACTTAAAAAATCTTCTTTTAAAGAACCCAAAGAGCTAGAGCTAAGATATTTGGCATAAAACATCTTCTAGTAAATGTCTACCAAGTTTGTTCAAATAAAAGCCCTGGGGTCAAAATTGGCCCCGCCCTGGCGGGTCATTGATTTTCCCTATATGCATATAGTAAAAACTTAAAAAATCTTCTTTTAAAGAACTGTAAGAGCTAGAGCTTAGATATTTGGCATGAAACATCTTCTAGTGAATGTCTACCAAGTTTGTTCAAATAAAAGCCCTGGGGTCCAAATTGGCCCCGCCCCAGGGGGTCATTTATTTTCCCTATATGCATATAGTAAAAACTTAAAAAATCTTCTTTTAAAGAACCGAAAGCGCTAGAGCTAAGATATTTAGCATGAAACATCTTCTAGTGAATGTCTACCAAGTTTGTTCAAATAAAAGCCCTGGGGTCTAAATTGGCCCGGCCCCGGGGGGTCATTGATTTGCCCTATATGCATATAGTAAAAACTTAAAAAATCTTCTTTTAAAGAACCGTAAGAGCTAGAGCTTAGATATTTGGCATGAAACATTTTCTAGTGAATGTCTACCAAGTTTGTTCAAATAAAAGCCCTGGGGTCAAAATTGGCCCCGCCCCAGGGGGTCATTGATTTTCCCTATATGCATATAGTAAAAACTTAAAAAATCTTCTTTTAAAGAACCCAAAGAGCTAGAGCTAAGATATTTAGCATGAGACATGTTCTAATGGGTGTCTACCAAGTATGTTCAAATAAAAGCCCTGGGGTCAAAACTGGCCCCGCCCCGGGGGTCATTGATTTTCCTTATATGTGTATAGCAAAAACTTAAAAATCTTCTTTGAAAAAACCCAAATAGCTAGAGTTTAGATATTAAGCATGAAACATCTTTAAGTAAATATCTACAAAGTTTGTTCAAATAAAAGCCCAGGGGTCAAAACTGGCCCTGCCCTAGGGGTGTCATTGTTTTTAACTATATGCGTATAGTAAAAACTTAAAAAATCTTCTTTTAAAAAACCTAATGAGCTAGAACTTAGATGTTTTGCATGAAACATCTTCTTATGGGTGTCTACCAAGTCTGTTCAAATAAACAAATAAAACCCTTTGGGTAAAAATTGGGCGGGGGGGGGGGGGGCTATATACAGGTGAGAGACCTCAGGGCCATCATGGCCCTCTTGTTTTGTATATTCGGTGGTCGCCCTTCGCCTTCGGTAAAGACAGACATCTATGAAATATCAGATTATAAAATCGGTCTGTCTTGCCGTCGAAATATTGAGACTAAGCTGTAACATGAAAGTATCACACTCAGCTAGAGCTCTGACTGGTAACATATAGGAAAGAGTTCCCATCATAATAAATTTCCACAAATGGCAAGCAAACATGTCCCGTACAAAAGCAGTACCCGTATTTCTTGTTTTAATGCTTGATTTTTACTTGCATTCTTTAAATATTATAAGATATCAAATTATACAGATCATGTGTGTCATTTCATCAGTAGGTACAAAAAGTTTTCATTTAAAATCGCTTTTACCTGTGTGTTATCAAAACATGACATTGTCAACATTGGGTGATTCTGTCGTTGTGTGTATATGCAAAAATACTTGCATATAAGGCCTGTAAAACTTTAAGTGTTCAATTCACGAATTCGAAAACCTAGCTAAACGCCATTTTCCGGTACTTTCTGTACATAGCTCTGGGGAATTTACCTAATGGAGTGTAATAGCGAACTTTATGCTTTCGGCCTTTTTTAAAATTAAATTGAAATAAAACAGTTATTTCTTTAATATAAGAAAATAATTAAATATCATTGTATGAATAATTCCATACAAAAGATAAAATAAAAGCACAAGTTTATGCAGAAAATAACCTTATTTATTATGGAAGATTCCACTACAGCTGTTTGAATTCTATTGATTTTCATTATAAACAATTTATTTTTTGAATAATTTGCAATAGATATTAAATGAATATTTATAATTTTCAAAAACATCAGTTTTTTTCACCTTAAAAGGTTAAATAATGATAGAAAAATAGAAATATCTCGTAAATGTGTTATGCACTTCATTTGGTGTAATTCCCCAGAGCTAAAACCGTAACGTACCGGAAAACGGTGTTTAGCTATGTTTTCAAAAAGGTCAATAAACCAATTGTGATGAGATAAGTGGGCAATACACTGAAAACTTATTTTAATATCAGAATTTTTCCCTACTTGGATCCCTATATTACCGGACAAAATATGATGTTTTTTCGCTGTAACTTTTGTTTAAAATAATAAAAAGAATAGATTTTACCCAAATAATTTTGGGTTTTTATAACACGTAAACATTATATTATCAAACATGAAATTTGACCGTAGAAATGTGTCTTTAAAGTAGGGCATTATAAGAGAAAAAAATCGTGAAGACAGCTCAATTTACCGGACATTGTGTTTCAAAATTTTTTGAAGTTGTGAATTTAAATAAACCTTTAAATAATCAGCAAGGAAACTATGACTTTTGAATGGCAAGGTTAAGATATTGGAAGAACTAAGTTGACTTTTACAAAGATGCCATATATAGGGTGTTATTGAAATTAACACTATTAACGATTCAAACTCAATGTATTGATTCTTCATGACCCTTAAACGTATGAAATATTTTGATATTCAAATGGAATTCTGCTCTTTGTTATAAAGTTTCCTTTTGGTCATCATGTAGCATGTAACAAAAGCCATAATCTATTTTTATTTACTTTTCAGTAATTTCCTCCCATGGGCGTAACTTTTTTCCTTATATGTTTTTTAATTTGCATTTCTTTGTAAAAGACAACAAGATACTGTTTGGACGAAATATAAAATTACTTTTATCATTAACATAATGTTACGATTGTCTCCTGAGATAATGTTGAGAAGAATTAAGAGACAATGTTCAGAAGAATTAAAAGTAAACTTATCTAAAATAACCATTAAAGGCCTCAATATTAGGGCATGCGCAGAACAGATTATTCCCCCGCATGACCAGGCCATGAAATAACTAGTTCACAAAAGGGCATATCATAGAAAATGAAAAGATTAACCTGAGAGTGGTTTTGTTGTTATTTACTTTGAAATAAAAAGAGTGTGTACGATTTAGACCGGATGATTTTTTAATCGAAGCAAAAATTAAAGCACTATTGGGCAGGAATAGATTTTGTCCAGTAAACTGATTTTCCGGTAAACATGAAGGATTACAGTATCTTACCATATGAAGCTTTAATGAAATCTGCATTAGAAGTATTACTTATTTTACCCAGGAGTATGACAAGATGACCTGTACAAATATATGTCTTTATTTTTTATTATAATTCATAATGTAAATTAATAAACAGGGCCAAAAAAACCTTTTTTGTAGAGGCCGAATATAGGCTGCTTCCCAAACCAAACTAACCTCTTTTTTTCTCCCAATTTGGTCCTCAAAATTCCCCAGTCTTTTGAAATTTCCCATAGAATTTAGATCAAAATTAAACGATGGTGTTAAATTAAGGTGTCTTACTGCCTTATTAATGTTTCCCAGTGCTTTTTGCTTTTCTATTTTGAAGAACTTGTTAAAAGTTTGTGTTAAATTTGAGACCCCTTTTCCCAAAGTATGCAAAAATCACCCATATTTTCCCCATGAAAAAGGCTGAGGCCCCTTCCCCAAAAATGGTTTTTTGGTCCTGATAAGGAAAACTGATTTAATATCAAAAACTAATACACCATGTTAACTTACTTTTGTATAATTTTATATGCCTGCAAGAATTTCGGGCATATTATGTTATACCCCCTGGCGTCCATCTGTCCATCCGTTAACTAACGTTCCATTTGGCCCACAGTGTTCAAACTTCATATTATGATTGTCCATATTAGGTAGAAGACCCCTATTGATTTTGGGATCACAAGGTCAAAGATCAAGGTCCCTATTACCTTAAAACTGAAAACGGTTTCCAGAGCATAACTTAAGTTCCATTTGGCCCACAGTGTTCAAACTTCATAGGATGATTGCCCATATTGTGTAGAAGACCCCTATTGATTTTGGGGTCACAAGGTCAAAGGTCAAGGTCACTATCACTGTAAAACTAAAAACAGTTTCCGAAGCATAGCTTAAGTTCCATTTGGCCCACAGTGTTCAAATGTCCATATTGGGTAGAATAACCCTATTGATGTTGGGGTCATGAGGCCAAAGGTCAAGGTAACTATTACTTTCAAACTGAAAACATTTTCCGGAACATAACTTAAGTTTCATTTGGCCCACAGTGTTCAAACTTCATAGGATGATTGTTCATATTGGGTAGAACACCCCTACAGATTATGGGGTCACAGGGTTAAAGGTCAAGGTCACTATGACCTTAAAACTGAAAACCGTTTCCGGAGCATAACTTAATTTGGCCCACAATATTCAAACTTCATAGGAGGATTGCTATTCGAAAGAGGTAATACTTTATTTAATTCCCATGTCTTACAAATGCTTCATCCTTACTAAAAAAAAACAACAACACACTTTCGGGCATATAATGCTCCGCCTAGCGGTGCTCTTGTTGATCTTTAGGATAACTAGTTTGGTTAACATCATCATTTTTTATCATTAAATTATGTATCAGACCGTGTAATATTGCTACATGTATGTATCTAAAAATTTATGTCATGTTTTAAGTAAGTAATTTATGATTACATAATTTTATTGAATTTTTTTACAGATCCAGCCTGGATACAGAATGTAAACATTAACTTGCCAGCAACAAAACGAAGAGCAGAACAGTTAGGTCTTAGAAGAACTGTCAAAAAACAGTGGCAGGTAGGGATATGTCTTTTTCCTTTAACAAAACCGACATGTTGAGTTATTCTAATATGACCTTGACCTTTAATTGACCTTGCCTGTCAATGTAAAATTATTGAAATCTGCTTCAGTTGTCATTACAGATTTGATTCATACTTGGACAAAAGAACACATATGACATAACCAACAAGTTGAATTATTTTTATAAAATCATGACTTTTAATTGACCTTGACCTTCAAGATCAAATTGTTTTAATTTGCTACATTATCATTACTTTATTATTTATTTACAGACTTGATTCATACTTGGACAAAGAACACATGTTACAAAACTGAATTATTCTATTATGACTTTGACCTATAATTGACCCATACCATCAAGGTCAAATTGTTATACCCCACAAACAAAGTTTAGGGGGGGGGTATATAGGAGTCAGCTTGATGGTCCATCGGTCAGTCCACATCATGGTTTCCGGATGATAACTAGAGTTTAGAATGAGGTATTGTAATCAAACTTGGTATATAGCAACCTTATGTGGAGACTCCGGTTGGTATTGCATTTGGACCCCCTGGGGTTAAGGTCACCATTACCAAAAATAGAAAAATTGTTTCCAGATAATAACTAGAGTTAGGAATGAGATATTGTTATCAAACTTGGTGTATAGCAAGCTTATATGAAGACCCGGGTTGGTATTGCATTTGGACCCCCTGGGGTCAAGGTCAAGGACACTGTTACTAAAAAAGACAAAAAAAAACCAAAATGGTTTCCGGACAATAATTAGAGTTAGGAATGAGATATTGTAATCAAACTTGGTGTATAGGAAGCTTATATGAAGACCTGGGTTGGTATTGCATTTTGACCCCCTTGGGTCAAGGTCAAGGTCACCATTACTAAAAATAAAAAAAATGGTTTCTGGACAATAACGGGAGTTAGGAATGAGATATTGTAATCAAACTTTGTGTACAGCAAGCTTATTTAAAGACCCCAGTTGGGTTTACAATTAATTGAAATATTTCACAGTGAGTTAATAGCTTGTGTTCAAATTTTTCTTCAGACTACTTATTTTTCAAAAGGTCAAAGTTGCCAGTGGGGGTATTAATCACCTTCAGTGATAGGTCTAGTTGAAATTTACTTGAATTGTCATATCTTTGTAATTTATTTGTGGATTTAATTCATTCTTGGACAAAGAGCACTTATGACAAAACTAACATTATGAATTTATGATTAATTCAAATGTGACCTTGACCTTTGAATGACCTGGCTTGATTGTCAATGTCAAATATGAAATTTGATTTTTTTTTGTACAAGAATTTTGTGTTTTTGATGAGTACTATTTACTAGTATAGTATTCTTCCTCTGATGTGTTTGACTTTAGAAACAAGAAGAAAGTCGAGGGTGGACTCTGCAAGGCAGTGGCTCTTGTTGTTTGTAGGGGAAAAAACATAATTTTATTTTAGGCCTTAATTAAGTACACATCTTGGGAAAGTATTGATTCATATATATATATATCTTATATTTATGTACAAAAAGCAAAACCTTTCATGGTAGAAAATAGACAAAGCTATAATTATAATGATTTATTTGTGATGTTTACTGCAAACAGAAATGTAAATCAAGTTTTAAATTGTAATAACTAGTTATTTATATATCTGTTATATATTTCTGTATATTTTAAAGACTAATATACCCAGCAATTTAGGGAAAATGGACTGTAATATACATTAACGCATTTACAACATTTACCCCAGGTCACCAGGCTACTTTAATCAAGCAGCAGCTTCCATTATGATATTAAGGAATTACACTACCCTCTCACATACCCATTTTATACCAGTGTCAGCTTAAGTAATGTAAAGTAAATTTCTTAAAGGCCCATTATCCTTTTATTATATGCCCGAAAGGGCATGTTATACCCCCTGGCGTCCGTCTGTCTGTCTGTCCGTACCAAAATTTGATGTTTATGAGGCAAATCAGCTCATAAACACCACCTGGACCAACATCCATAAGCAAAATAAGCTCATAAAAACAAAAAAAATAGCTCTTAATTTGAATTTTATGAGTTTTTGTTCTTTATTTAACTACGGAATGAAGCTCATAATAATCAAATGTTTGCTCGTCCTTCCGTCCGTCCGTTAGCAATTTGGTTTCCGGAGCATAAAAACTTAAGTTCCATTTGGCCCACAATGTTCAAACTTCATAGGATGATTGTCCATATTGGGTAGAAGACCCCTATTGATTTTGGGGTCAAAAGGTCAAGGTCACTATGACCTTAAAACTGAAAACAGTTTCCGGAGCATAACTTAAGTCTATTCGACCCACAATGTTCAAACTTCATAGGATGATTGTCCATATTGGGTAAAAGACCCCTATTGATTTTGGGGTCACAAGGTCAAAGATCAAGGTCACTATTACCTTGATACTGAAAACAGTTTCCGGAGCATAACTTAAGTTCCAATTGACCCACAATGTTCAAACTTCATAGGATCATTGTCCATATTGGGTAGAAGACCCCTATTGATTTTGGGGTCACAAGGTCAAAGGTCAAGGTCACTATTACCTTGATACTGGAAACAGTTTCCGGAGCATAACTTAAGTTCCATTTGGCCTACATTGTTCAAACTTCATAGGATGATTGTCCATATTGGGTAGAAGACCCCTATTGATTTTAGGGTCAAAAGGTCAGGGGTCAAGGTCACTATATCCTTAAAACTGAAAACAGTTTCTGGAGCATAACTTAAGTTCCATTTGGCCCACAATATTCAAACTTCATAGGATGATTGTCCATATTGGGCAAAAGACCCCTATTGATTTTGGGGTCACTAGGTCAAAGGTCAAGGTCACAATAACCTTAAAAGCAAAAACAGTTTCCTGAGCATAACGTAAGTTCCATTTGGCCCACAATATTCAGACTTCATTGGATGATTGTCCATATTGGGTAGAAGACCCTTATTGATTTTGGGGTCACAAGGTCAAAGTCACTTTTACCTTAATACTGAAAACAGTTTCTGGAGCATAACGTAAGTTCCATTTGGCCCACAATATTCAAACTTCATAGGATGATTGTCCATATTGGGTAGAAGACCCCTATTGATTTTGAGGTCACAAGGTCAAAGTCACTTTTACCTTAGTACTGAAAACAGTTTCTAGAGCATAATTAAAGTTCCAGTTGGCCCACAATATTCAAACTTCTTAGGATGATTGTCCATATAAGGTAGAAGACCCCTATTGATTTTGGGGTCACAAGGTCAAAGGTTAAGGTCATTATTAATAACTTGAGTATTAATCAACCTACAGCTGTAAAATTTTATAGGATGAACAGGGATTTCCCATGTCTTACAAATACTTCATCCTTACTAAAAAAAAAACACTTTGGGCATATAATGCACCGCCTAGCGGTGCTCTTGTTTTTATTTCTTAAAACTTTTTAATTTTGGTGTATTCAAAAAGTTACTCATTGGCCAATTACATGAACCATCTTTTTCATCTGTTGCTTTTTGATAATAGTTAAAGTACAGTTATAGTAAATAAGTATTTTGTATAGAACTCAAAAAAACTACTTTGTTTACATTTCTCTACTTTTAGTACAGATTATTTTACATTTGTCACTCCTTTCTTCAGGTAACAAGCATCTAACATTCTCTACATTCATTATTATACCCCCGCACAACAAAGTTGTAAGGGGGGTATACTGGAATCAGCTTGTCCGTCCGGCCGTCCGTCGGTTTTTTCTTGTCCGCCCAATAACTTAAGATTCCTTTGACCCTTAGTCTTCATATGTGGCATGGAGGTTAGTCATGAGTAGTAGATGACCCCTATTGATTTTGAGGTCACCAGGTTAAAGGTCAAGGTCACAGGGGCCTTGACTTCAAAAAGCTTGTCCGCCCAATAACTTAAGATTCCTTTGACCTACAGTCTTCATATTTGGCATGGAGGTTAATCATGATTAGTAGATGAACCCTATTGATTTTGAGGTCACCAGGTTAAAGGTCAAGGTCACAGGGGCCTTGACTTCAAAAAGCTTGTCCGCCCAATAACTTTAGATTCCTTTGACCCTTAGTCTTCATATTTGGCATGGAGGTTAGTCATAATTAGTAGATGACCCCTTTTGATTTTTAGGTAAAAGGTCAAGGTCACACGGGCCTTGACTTCAAAAAGCTTGTCCGCCCAATAACTTAAGATTCCTTTGACCTACAGTCTTCATATTTGGCATGGAGGTTAGTCATAATTAGTAGATGACCCCTATTGATTTTGAGGTCACCAGGTTAAAGGTCAAGGTCACAGGCGCCTGACTTCAAAAAGCTTGTCCACCCAATAAGTTAAGATTCCTTTGACCCTTAGTCTTCATATTTGGCATGGAGGTTAGTCATGATTAGTAGATGACCCCTATTGATTTTGAGGTCACCAGGTGAAAGGTCAAGGTCACAGGGGCCTTGACTTCAAAAAGCTTGTCCGCCCAATAACTTAAGATTCCTTTGACCCATAGTCTTCATATTTGGCATGGAGGTTAGTCATGATTAGTAGATGACCCCTATTGATTTTGAGGTCACCAGGTCAAAGATCAAGGTCACAGGGGCCATGACTTCTAAAAGCTTGTCCGCCCAATAACTTAAGATTCTTTGACCCACAGTCTTCATATTTGGCATGGAGGTTAGTCATGATTAGTAGTTGACCCCTATTGACTTTGAGGTCACTGGATCAAAGGTCAAGGTCATAGGGACTTTGACTTCAAAAAGTTTGTCCACCCATTAACTTAAGATTCCTTTGACCCACAGTCTTCATATTTGGCATGGATGTTGATCATGACTATAAGGTGAGCCCTATTGATTTTGAGGTCACTGGGTCAAAGGTCAAGGTCACAGGGACCTTGACAAAAAAAAGCTTTTCTTCTCAATTGCTAAAGAATGTCCTGTCCGCAAATGTATTGATTTTGACATTTTCACATTTGAAGCATGTAGAATACATAACTTAGCAATGCACTGGCTTAGTAACCTCAGATTTGGCAGGGAGGTTGTCCTTGAGCTCTAAATGGCCACTGTTGATTCTGACAAAGTGGTATGCGGGGGTATTCACGCCATGATAGTGGCAGTTCTAGTTTAAACATTATAAAATTCAATTTTGCCCTTTTGTTTGCTCAGGGCTTTCTTAAGTAGTAAAAAATTTATTCGTTTCTGAGGCATAATGTCACTTTAATAAAAGAAAGTAGCATTGATATGCATCTCCATCCAGAACCCCAAAAAAAGAGCAAAAATTGTCTGTGATTGATTTTATGGTCCTTTTGTTTGCAATTTCCATTTGGTAAATGGATGTTTGGGAAAAACCTGATTATACAAAAGTATTTGTCACTGTTTCATCATTATAATGATATATATTTATACAGGCAGCATGGGAGTTACGCGCTGTGTCATGTATAGATCTAACAACTCTAGCAGGGGATGATACTCTTGCCAATGTCAACAGACTCTGCTTCAAGGCTAAGAATCCTGTACGACCAGATCTTTTGAAGGCCATGGATATGGCCGATGCAGGTATTGTAAGATTGACTATTCAAAGGATAGGGAGAGCTTTTGTACTTAACCAATCGTTAATGTTGGTTTTTGTGTCACACTTTGGTTGTTTTTGTGTTAAAGTTGGTATCTCCCAAACTACTGAAGGGAATGATGGGTTGATACTTCACACACTTATACGAGAGGCTAGCCTAACATAAAAGAAGGTCACTGTCCAAGGTCCGTAACTCTAACCTGAACATTAACAGAATTATAGCCCTTTGAACTTAGAAAATTCAACATTTTTTCAGGCTTTGCTCAAGTACTGAGAATAGTTGAACATACTGTTCTACTGACAGATGTATCATTTTTTTATTGAATTAAATGTTTGTTTTGAAAGAGTTGTATGTGTTGGTGTTGACATTTTTACCCACCCTTAATATTATAGTGAATTTTCCATGTTCTTGTCATGAGCACATGAATAAAAATAAAAAAATATGTTTTATTTATCTGTTGTTCAGAATAATATTTGCGTCTTACAATCTCATTAAAAAGTCCAAAAAATCTACAACAGCTCCAAACAAAAGTTACATTATGTGCGCTATGGTTTTACTTTTAATGTAATTATGAATATACATGCTCTAAAACCAATGGAAATGTAAACATAAACCAAAGTTACACACACTTCATGGATTTTTATCAAGAAAATATAACTTAAACTTAATCATAGGAAGTTTCAGACTATTTCCTTTTGACATTAGTTCAAAAATGTACATTCTCATTTACAGGTCTAACAGTTGGAGCAGTATGTGTTTACCCAAGTCGTGTATCTGATGCCATAAACTCGTTGAAAGCCGCTGGCGGGAGCCATATTCCAGTAGCTTCTGGTGAGTTTTGAATAACTGGGTGCAAAATGTCTGTATCTAAAGGTCTTACCTTCTTTATTAATTTTATACTTTATAAAAGCAGATTTATATTTTTTTCTGGAATATTTTATTTTGTTTATGCACTGTTTTCATGTATGTTAAATGATAGAAACATTATGTGTTTCACCTTTTTCAAAATATGACCATTAGATTATGGAAACATGATAATTTCAATGTTTTTTTTTAATTCTATAAAAATATTTTATTAGATATATTTCTATACTCTTTATAATTTTTAAGAAATTGACAGGTATGTAAACTGTAAAGTACATGTGAAAATGAACTACGCAGTATTTCAAACTGTTAAACATCACACCAAACAAGCTTTTATTTGCGTAGGTTTAAAAGTTCAAAGTATCATTATTTACGCAAATAAAAGTAAAGCATATTTTAAAGTACAAAGTGTAATTATATATACATGTATTTCAGTTGCCACGGGTTTCCCGACTGGTCAGACACCTTTAAAGACACGCCTTGAGGAAATCCGCATGGCTGTTGAAGATGGAGCTCGTGAAATTGATATTGTTATTAACAGACAGATGGCACTCACTGGAGATTGGAAAGGTCAGTTGATATATATATGTAACAATTCGAAGGTTGATCGCAAAACTGTTGTAAGTCCTTGTGTTACTGTATATACTGAAGTTTTGTTGTCAACGCTCAAACTGTCATGGAAGCTGAATTTTTTATCATTGTCCTTTTTTTTGTTGATATTTAAAATGTTTATAACAGTAAATTTGTTGTAATCATTATCCATTGTTTTATTAATGTTGATATTTAAAGTGTTAATAGTAGTAAAGGTTCTGTTAATGTTGTTCATTGTTTATTAACATTTAAATTGTTGATAGAAGTAAAAAGTTTGTGTTCAGTATATGTGATATTTTGTCTGAATGCTTTTATGGACGATAAATTACAGGTCAAGTTCAAACAAAGGTCATCTAGCAGAAAAATGAGGTCAAAGTAAAAAAAAAATTCTTTCAAAAGATTGTGGACATAATAATCTTAAATCTGCCATTGCTTTAACTACCTCTTGATTTTTTGACATTCTTTTGCACATCTATAATATCAAAATAACTAACAGTAACTGACTAGCCGGCATTAAATGTAAGAAAACTCCATTTTACCAAAACAGTTTTCCATTCTAAGGATAAAAGAGATATAGTAGAAACTTATTGTTACAAAAATTTCAGTTTAAACAATACATGGAAATGTCTGCTCTTATTTCTGTGAAAAATATATCTTGTTCTTTGCACGTTTATACTACCATATAATATATAATATTGTTAAATAATACTATAACATGAAATCTATGTCAGGTGTGGTCTTTGTTTGATATCATATTACTATTGGTGTATTTGTGTTTATTGTTGTAACACAATCTGTCTGGGTAGGATCCAGATTCTATTCTTGTCTTGGTAGGTACCAGATTCTATTCTTGTAAGGGTAGGAACCAGATTCTATTTTTGTCCGGGTAGGAACCAGATTCTATTCCTGTCTGGGTGGGAACCAGATTCTATTCTTGTTAAAGTAGGAACCAGATTCTATTCTTGCCAGGATAGGGACCAGATTATATTCTTGTCTTGGTAGGAACCAGATTCTATTCTTGTCTGGGTAGGAACCAGATTCTATTCTAGTCTGGATAGGAACCAGATTCTATTTTTGGCTGGGTAGGTACCAGATTCTATTCTTATCTGGATAGGTACCAGATTCTATTCTTGTCTGGGTAGGAACCAGATTCTATTATTGTCTGGATAGGAACCAGATTCTATTCTTGTCTGGGTAGGAACCAAATTCTATTCTTGTAAGGGTTAAGGAACCAGATTCTATTCTTGCCAGGATAGGAACGAGATTCTATTTTTGTCTTGGTAGGAACCAGATTCTGTTCTTGTCTGGGTAGGAACCAGATTCTATTCTTGTCTTGCTAGGAACCAGATTCTATTCTTGTCTGGGTAGGAACCAGATTCTATTCTAGTCTGGATAGGAACCAGATTCTATTTTTGTCTGGGTAGGAACCAGATTCTATTCTTGTCTGGATAGGTACCAGATTCTATTCTTGTCTGGGTAGGAACCAGATTCTATTCTTGTCTGGATAGGAACCAGATTCTATTCTTGTCTGGGTAGGAACCAAATTCTATTCTTGTTAGGGTAGGAACCAGATTCTATTCTTGCCAGGATAGGGACGAGATTCTATTCTTGTCTGGGTAGGAACCAGATTCTATTATTGTCTGGATAGGAACCAGATTCTATTCTAGTCTGGATAGGAACCAGATTCTATTTATGTCTGGGTAGGAACCAGATTCTATTCTTGCCAGGATAGGGACGAGATTCTATTTTTGTCTTGGTAGGAACCAGATTCTGTTCTTGCCTGGGTAGGAACCAGATTCTATTCTTGTCTTGGTAGGAACCAGATTCTATTCTTGTCTGGGTGGGAACCAGATTCTATTCTAGTCTGGGTGGGAACCAGATTCTACTCTTGTTTTGGAAGGAACCAGATTCTGTTCTAGCCAGGATAGGTACCAGATTCTATTTTTGTCTGGGTAGGAACCAGATTCTATTATTGTCTGGATAGGAACCAGATTCTATTCTAGTCTGGGTAGGAACCCATTTCTATTCTTGTAAGGGTAGGAACCAGATTCTATTCTTGCCAGGATAGGGACGAGATTCTATTTTTGTCTTGGTAGGAACCAGATTCTGTTCTTGCCTGGGTAGGAACCAGATTGGTAGGAACCAGATTCTATTCTTGTCTGAGTGGGAACCAGATTCTATTCTTGTCTGGGTGGGAACCAGATTCTATTCTTGTCAGGGTAGAAACCAGATTCTATTTTTGTCAGGGTAGCAACCAGATTCTTTTCTGCCATATTAACTATCGTTGAGTGAACTTGTCATCATTTTTATTTTGACTGCTTAAACACAACAGTTTGTACTTCACTGAAATTTCCACTGTACAAACTTCTGCCCTTTCCATTAATTTTCTAAATTATGATTAAATTAATAATTCTAAATAAGTTTTGTTACTTGGTGTATTCACACAAAGTGATGCATAACAGTGATCGGAATGAGTAGATGTTTAATTAAATACCAAGTTCTAGACATATGCTGATAATTATAATGAAATAGTTATATTGATAAGAAAAAAGTATTGCCAGTGGTTGTGCTATCGTTATATCTCGTGTAGGCTGTTGCTTGGGCAACTTCTCAACAACATTTAAAGTTTGTCTTGTCCAAATCATTTGATGCTGTTTTATTATACCCCAATTTATGCAGATATTTTTCATACTCTTATATGTATATATGCTGTTATATGTATATCACAAGTTTTGTAGATATTTTATGCTGATACATGTATATGACAATTTATGCAGATATTTAATGCTCTTAAGGGGACTCCACTGAGGTTTAAAAGCCTAAAAACATAACAACAAAAACATTCGGATTTCTTACATAAATTAGCTGGGAGACTTTAAACAGAAATATATGCAAAGATAGTTAAGAAATATATTTTGAAATAAATTGAAATTCGTATTTTTATGCTTTCCTTAGCCCGATTTGAGTGAAAAGCATTTAAACGCTTTTCATTTTGGGTCATTTTTTTACAATTTGAATAATTATTCTGGAAAAACGAAATGCGCGAATGATCTGAAATTTTGCATAAAGATTAGTGGTCTAAACCTACATCAAATGGTCCATTTATCTGGAAAAAAATTTTCAGTCCCATCATGTGAAAAAACCTCAGTGGAGTCCCTTTAAATGTATATCACAAGTTATGCAGTATTTTATGCTGTTATATATTTATTACAATTTATGCAGACTGGTATATTTTTACTGTAATATGTACATCAAAAATCATGCAGATATTTTTATGCTGTTTGGTAAATGTATTTCAAAACTTATGCAAATATTTAATGGTGCTTTACATGTATCTATTTCACAATTCATGCAGATATTTAATGGTGTTATATGTACATCTATATCAAAATTTATGCAAATACTTGATGATTTTGTATGTGTATCAAATATAATACAAACATTATATGGTGTTATCTGTTCTTGTATACCATAAATAATGTAGATATGTTATATGTATTGTTTAGGTGTTTATGAGGAGGTTAAGCTAATGAGAGAGGCATGTGGTGAGGCACACATGAAGACAATTCTAGCTACAGGAGAACTGGGAAGTCTTGCCAATATCCACAAGGCCAGTATGGTGTGTATGATGGCAGGTAAGGTGCTCAAGTCTATATTGTAGCTTTTTACTTTCTTTTCTGGCAATAGTAAGGAATATTACAATATAGAACTGTATCTTAACAGGGGGAAAATGTCAGAGCAGCTTACTGGGTAGCTCAGTTGGTATAGCTGCCGTAATGTGTTCTGAGAGCCCGTGCCTGCTACTTACTTTTTTTATCAGCAATAAGAAATGTTACTGTAAAATTGTTTGTAAATAGGGGAGAAAAAATGTCAGAGTATCTGGCTGGGTAGCTCAGTATGTAGAACTGCAATGTTCTGACAGTCCCTGGTTCAAGTCCTGCTAATGCTGCATATTTTGCAGATCCTCTGTCAGATATTTAAGTAACCATATTACAAAAAAATTAGTACAGGAGAATTTTTAGGAATCATTTTAACCTTTAGGAGGCAAGAATGTTGACCGGATAACATGTATAAAAACTTTCACAGCAAGCATCTGAAAATGTCTCCTTTACAATTTATATTTTTCATGGAGCTCATATGGCCAAAGATATCATAATTTGTTTGTACATTTTAGGAGCTGACTTCATTAAAACATCAACAGGTAAAGAAGGTGTGAATGCTATATTGATGGTGGCTCTGGTCATGGTAAGGGCCATCAGAGAGTACTTTGAGAGAACTGGTCATAAGGTAAGCATAAATTAAACAATGGCCAAGTTGTTAAGGCATTTGTTTTTCAAAGCAGGGAGTGCAGGTTTAAGCTTCTCTGTGGTCAGTTATATTTCCTCATATTATTTAGTTCTTAAAAATGTGACATTTTCAATTTTAGTTTGACTATTTTAAGGACAGGGAGAGCTTTTTGTACTAATAAGATGTTGGCATCACACTTTGGTTAAGTTTTGTGAACGAGTCCAGGTATTTCCAAAACTACTGAAGAGAATTGGATAAAACTTTACACACTTGTTCTCTGTGATTATCTAACATGAAAGGCACAGGTCCAATAAATGATAGGCACAGGTCCAATTATTCTAAGTTACATTTTTAATGAGTTATACCCATTTTCTTACTGTTTAGCACTGAGAATAGTAGAGCGTGCTGTCGATGTCTTACAGACAGCTCTTGTTTAAAAGAATTCTACATTATTTTATCATGTTACAGGTGGGCTTTAAACCTGCTGGAGGAATAAGGTCTGCCAAGGATGCTTGTACCTGGTTATCTTTGATGAAAGAAGAGTTAGGGGATGAATGGACCACGCCCGCTTTGTTCCGGATAGGGGCAAGCAGCCTACTGATTGACATAGAACGTCAGTTGTTCCATTTTGTGTATGGAAGATATGCGGCGTCACACGAGATCCCAATGTCGTAAACACAAATGATATCTAGTCTCAAGCTTATAGATTTATGATTGAAGACCAGTCTTTAAAATCTCTTCTTTGATCGGTCAATTTTAAATTTTGGTCATGAATCAGCCAATCAGATATCAGACATTAAGACTGGTCTTCATTCTCAAATGTTATAATGCTTACTGTCTGTAACCCTTACAAAAGAGACCTCTGAATATGAAAAATTAAGATGTTTTGAATAACTATATGAACTAAAGTTGAATTCAGTTTTAAAACTTTAGAAATGCTAGCTATTTCTTACCATTAAGTATGTACAGAATGTGATTTGATGCTAGGTTCTAGTTATATATATGATATATCAATGACATTTTATGAATAAATTCCAGATCAATTACTTCTTAAGAATATATGTTTACATGATTTTAATGTAAGATATGGTGCTGAAATTTAAAGGAATTCATACAAAACAGTAATATTTTGAACAAAATTGGGCATTTTCCATTAACATTCATCTAATTACATGTTAAAACAGGTAAGAATTATATGTTGTACTTTGCAAAACATTCCATTATAAAATTATGGCAAACAACATGTAAAGATTATTTTTTGTTAAGGTAGACAACTTTGAATGTAAAAAAATCATTTTTTATGTTTTACATTGTTCCTGCCCTTGAAGTCTCATTCTATTGAATAAGAATTTTCTATTTGATATACATGGTATGTTCACGGAAAAACGGGATAACTAAAAAGAAATAGTGTTCAAAATGTTTATACATGTATGTGCTGTATTGTTTTAACAGTTGAAATAAGATTATTATGTCTGTAACATAGTATAAATGTTGCTATTTGTTCTGTACCAGTCCGGTCTGGTTATGTATTATAATGATATCAGGATATATACATGTACATACTATGTACATTATGTTTTCAGTTTTAAATGATACGGCTGTTATTGACTTAAATCACAAGTATAGAGCCATACCATTCTGCATCACCATGCTTTTGACCAGGCTATATACTGTAGACTGGTTTATTTTATAATTATGATACTCAATTTTTTTGCATTTACAATGGACAATTCAGATTAGATATTTAAGCAGAATGGGTCTAGTATAATACATTGTATTTTACCACGGATAAGGTTTAAGTTTTGAAGTAACTAGTGATATGTTTACACACTATTCACTCTGCGTTTAAACCATCTAAAAGGTATCAGATTATAAGACTAATGTAAATGTAAGAAACCTTTACACTTAAAGTTAAATGAGCCGTGTCATGACAAAACCAACATAATGGGTTTGCGACCAGCATAGATCCAGACCAGCCTGCGCAGTCTGATCAGGATCCATGCTGTTCGCTTACAAACCCTATTACAAGTAGGGAAACTGATAGCGAACAGCATGGATCCTGATCAGACTGCGTGGATGGTCTGGATCCATGCTGGTCGCAAACCCATTATGTTGGTTTTGTCATGACACGGCTCAAATGAAAGTGATCAAGGCCAATAATAGATTGTTTGAACATTATGTCATAAAATAAGGAATGTATATAAATATGTCATATGACTTTCTTTTCATTAAAACATGGGGGACAATACTGATAAATTAGGAGTATAGATTATTAATCAGTTTCCCCATACATTCAATCAGTGCCAATGTTTAATCAACAAATAACACCTCTCAGGTTGCTAGTCTTTATTTGTTCAAGCTACAAAAGTCCAGATTAAATTTCAGAGAGATAATTGATATAGCTTATGAACTGTAAAAATATTCGCAAAATTTCCTGTTTTCATGTTGTAACAAAAAAACATCTGATGTATTTTTATAGATAAATTGAGGTTTTGTATACATTCATACATTCAAATAAATTTCTATGTCAAGTCAGTGCCATAGGCTTGATTAAGTTGGTTTTTTTTTGTAATCTGTACACTTGAAAAAATTTTTTTTACTTTTGAGAACATTTCCTTATTTGTCAAACATTGGCAAGAATCTGAAAGCTTGCTGCTTTAATAGCATTGTTAACTACTAAGAAATATCATGGTGACTGACTAATAAGTCACCCAGATAAGTCATTAAGGTAATATCCATGTTTTTTCCAGTAATTCCCTCCTTATTTTTTGTTTTTATTCTTGTTTTTTTTTTTTTATCATGCAGATGTATTATATCATTCTCAAAAAAATAAAAAGGAATCTCGCTTTTGGTGTAAAGATATCACATATTCATTGCCTGATCTTTTTATAATATAATTGAGCCGTGTCACGACAAAACCAACATAATGGGTTTGCGACCAGCATGCATCCAGACCAGCCTGTGCATCCGCGCAGTCTGATCAGGATCCATGCTGTTCGCTATCAGTTTCTCTACTTGTTAAAGAGTTGGTAAGCGAACAGCATGGATCCGGATCAGACTGCGCTGATGCGCAGGCTGGTCTGGATCCATGCTGGTCGCAAATGCATTACATTGGTTTTGTCGTGACGCGGCTCATTTATATTGTTTTAGATCTTTCCATATCAGTGACAAAGAAACATAGAATTATTTTACCTGAAAAAGAAACTGAACTGATTTAACAATAATATGGTGTTTTTATTCAAACCAAGGTAATCATGGCTTTTAAAGTCTTCATGTTGTTCTACACATGTGCTTACTTGTGCTTGAAATGTAATAATTGCCAGGATGCCATGTCAGATACCATGGTTGTATTGTCACCTGATATTTTACTCCAGTGTATTTCAATAAATGTCATTTTTTGTGACTTATGAAATCAGACATGTAAAGAAGTCAGAAAAATCAGTCAAGAAATGAGACAAATAAAGAAATCACACAAATAATTAAAGACATAAGACAAGTCAATCGACACATCAAACAGATCAATTAAAAAAGCAGATAAGTAAATCAAGAAATCTGACAAATCGAGAAATATGACAAATCAAGACATAAGACATTAATTAAAGACACCAGACAAGTCAAGACATGTGACAAATTGGTCAAGAAATCAGACAAATCAATCAAGACATCAGAAAAAATCAATGAAGAAATCAGACAAATAGGTCAAGAAATCAGACAAATCAATCAAGACATTTGGAAAAATCAATCAAGAAATCAGACAAATAGGTCAAGAAATCAGACAAATCAATCAAGACATCTTACAAATCAAGACATTAGACATATCAAGACATCAAATAAGTAAATCAAGTAATCTGACAAAAAATCAGGCAAGTCACTTTGTGCTTGATAAAAAATCATGTAAGTTTACTCGTAAATTCTGTTGTTGTTTTTTTCAATAATGTAAAAAGTTGTTTTGTATGTGTTCCAGATAATATCAGATGGCATTTTTGAAAATGTTGTTCATAATGGTTTTAGAAAAACAAATCTTAACCTACGGGTATGTAGTGCTGTACAAATTAAAACTTGCCACTTTAAACTTTGTTTAAGCAAACCTTTTTACAATAATTGCAGGATAGAGGCAAGATGCTAACAATGCAAAAGTTTAATGTTGTTTTTACAAATGAATCATACAAAAGTCAGAAGTTTTTCTTTATCTAGAAATGTATTTTGTTTGCTAGATCTTGTTAAAGAATGAATATTGATTTTGATTTGATGTATAATTACAATAATATAATGTGATTTTATTGTATAGAAGGAATTTATAGAAGGCTACAATTTATGTGATTTTGCTTGAATTAAAGTATTATATACTTATTGTGTTATGAGATATATAATTATGTAGATGGAATAAAAAACTTAAATGAAAATTGTGTTCTGTGTAACATGTTGTTTTCCTTCAATTAAACTTTCCAATGGTTCAGTGTACAAATGTATCGTTATTCTAGGCTTTGTTTCTCTGGTAAAGGTTTCGGCCAAAAGCTTTTGGCCATTGGCCACAAAGTTAATAAACAGTTAAACCTAAAGAATATTTACATTTCCTTTGGAATATAGTGAAAAATAATTGTATACAGTAGGGGTTGCAAGTTCGGACACTTGTAGTCTAACTGTGGAAATCAGGACCGACTTGATTGGCTTTAACTAGTGGGCCTTTCGCGTAAGACTGAAAAAAAAAGAAATATCGAGATCGCATGCATTTGCGCTTTATTTCTATACACATTATCAAACTT